TTACATGTGCGAGTAAGAAAACAAAATATACGGCAGAATGAATTATAAAAGAGAGAATAAAAAACTTTTCCAATATCTAAATATTTAAAAAATTGTCTGAAATGGAGCATTTTATTAAAAAATTAAAAATTTGACTAAGTAATTTGACGGATTTTTTTTTTTTAAAAAATATTAATTTGTGGCTTTAACCAACCGACGGATTATCTACAAAAGTTTAGGGATCAACAGAATCATGTTACACAAGTTACAAGTTTATTGTCCGAGTCAAATTTTTTATAAATTTTTATATTTTGGTCATATCAATACTAATAAAATTTTTTTGTTAATTATTAAAACGTCCTAATTTCACCAGGACGAAAAACATTACATAATCAACTTCGAAATATAAATTATGCATATTTTAAATCTGCAACATACAAGACAATAATTTAGATTTAAAAGGTGTCATTTTTTTAAGACATTCATTAAGGTATTTTTTGAATTATTATTACTATGGTAATTTTAACAATTTACAATTTATATTATTTATTTTACTTGAAAAGTTCTTTTATTGTGATGATTTTTTTTCTATTTCTTCTCCAATTAGATTTTACATTTTTTATCCATCTTAAAGAATTAGGTTATAATCATTCATTATCCATTAATAAAATTAATTCGTGTAGTATCTCAAAATATTATTCTTTCAGATTAATATCTTGATTATTTATTTGTTTCATCAAATAAATATTGCATATCTAGTTATAAATCATACGATTTACTATATATTTCAATAATTATATATTTCATCATAAAATAAGAAAAATTCAAATATTATATTTTATCTAATATGAAGGATTAAATTTCTTTCTAAATTTGACAATATAAATAAGTTCTGAAATTTTTATTGAATCTATAAGCGTAAAGATTGAACCAAATGCAATGGACTTGGAGAAAATTCATATAGTTTTTAGTAAACCGGTACAATTTTGCAGATCAGTACGTACCGTACTTTATAATAACCAGTCCAGTACGAATATTTAAGTACGATACAATTTTCGCGAAACGTACCATCTGCAAAATCGTACCATATCGGTCAAACGATTCGTACCGTACCGGTTTTCTATATACCCATCAAATTTGTTTTTGTAAATTTATAAGTAAAAATTATCGAGTAGACAATCGCGAATTTTTATAGGTGATTTTTTATTTTACTTTATTTTTCGATCTTTAGGCTAAAAAAACGAGTTGCTAAAATTTTCTTTTGCTATTAATAGAAGTGTTTGCCTTACTTGTCTTCTTTCCTTTTATTAAATTCTTCATGTCCGAAAACCTTCTGTTTACCTTATCAGCCATAAACAATTAACTATGTTAATAATATTAAGAAGCTCATTAATCAATTAAACAATTTCATAATTTTTTTTTAATTTCTCCATCGTTTTGTTCAATCTTATTACTAGTGCTCCGTAGGGATCGGATCGGGACTGGTTTGAAGCATATTCGTACTCGAACCCGTTAATATTTACAGGACTCGAATTCGACTCGACCCGATCATTGTTCGACCCGAATTTTTAAGGGTAATATTTATACCGAAAAAATTTTTATTTATACAGATAATAAAAAATACATAAAATTTGAAAGTTTATTGTTTTGAAGCTTTTTGGTAGTACATTAATTTAAATGATTTTTTTTGAATATATTATTGCCAGGAAATGGAACACATACACGCACGAATTGTATCGGCTTTAAGACACATTTAAACTCGTTCAACATGACATTCGTTGCTTTATTAAAATAATTTCATTTTTATTTGGATTATGATCCTCTAAATAACACCAAATATTTGTTGTAATTTGAATCACAATATTGCGACGCCATGCCATGTTTTATTCTATAAAATCTCTTAAAAATAAAATATTAAATATATCCCACAATATATACTCTATTAAAAATACATAAGAGCAGTTGACTAACTTCACGATGTATCTGAATTTTTATTTAAAAGTTCTTTGGCAAAAAGCTAATTCACAATGCTTTTTGTTTTCCAAGAGAAGCTATGTTGCCGGAATTAGTAAGTTGATAATTCCGCTCATTATTTAAATTATAGTCATTTATATCATTTAATCACATCACCTGATCGTTCGGGTCACCCGGGTCAAGCAAATTCGTGACCCTAACCCGACGGGTTTTAAGAAATTAGGACTCGTGACATAAAATGATAGTCCCGACTCGAATTTTTCTCGAGTCGGGTCAAATGACCCGGGTCGATCCGACCGGCTCGGAGCACTACTTATTACCGTCCAACATTACATTATTCCGTTACAGTCACTCTATATTGACCTCATTGATAAATTGACTTAACATCCTCCCGCCGTTTCTTAAGAATGTTTGTAATTCAAATAAACGTTCCCGACAAGATGCTAAAGCTTCCACCATTCAGAAGCATTTCAAAGCTAAGCATGCTTTTTTGTATCGATTTTCCGATACTGCACTAAAAAACCAACTTGATCTTCAAACATAAATCTTTGTAATGGAAATACAAATTATCGCTATATCGCTAATGCATCATCCTTTCCCAAATTGTCTCCTCCTTAATAATATTTTTTATGCTCTTTATTTTTTTATTCAGTCCATTTGTCAAATTAACAGAGGTTGTAACCGGTTAAATTTTAACCGGTTAATTAACAAGTTTAGAAATTTATCTTGCTAACCAATTAAAGATTTTTTTAACATGTTAAAATATCTAATTTTGACTCTGGCTGGAATTTAATTTTCCAGCAGAATTAAAATTGTTTGCTATTACAAAATTTCGCTAGTTTTGCCCAAATTTATAGTGCCGGCCTGTTAAATTTAACCGGTTATTAACGGTTAAGCATATTTGGGCCGGTTCTTGATAGTTATATTTTAACGTACTATTACTTTTATCGTTATTTTAAGAATTTGTTGTATAAATTAAAAGGAAGGATTTTCAAAATAAAATAACTTGATTAATGTTTCGGGATAAACCATCGATGAACAATCCAAACCATGTATTAAAAATGCAATACTAAGGTCCAACAAAAAAACAACTACAAGCTGTTTTATGCGATTTTTTCAGGCCGGAATTATGTAATACCAGTCACAACCATACTACAATTCCGGGCGACTTTATCAATAAAAGGAAAGATCTACGTAAATATTACGCAAATAACTATTTGCTTTATTTTATTTTTTTTTTCTTATAAATAAATATTTTTTTTCTTTAAAGTCAGAAGGATTTCTTGTGTATATCTAGTGTATTTTCTATTCTATATAAAATTTTCACATTATTATTTGGCAATATGTAAAGGTAATTCGCAATGTTATTCATGAAATATATGAGATATAGCAAATCATATGATCCGTGATGTGATTTTACTGGCAAATCTCATAGCCTTCCAGATAGAATTTCATTATGAATTGAAATTAATTTTAACCTGTGGAATTTAGACCTTATGAGGATCTCACTTATGTAAGCATATCGTATTGTAAATCGGAATCTGTGGCTGAGGTGCATGCATAAATAGGAAAATCATTTAATAACTTGAAATAATTTTTTTTCTTATCCTCATAAAATTATAACCATGGAAAATGAAAATTGTAAGCTGGTTGTTTAGTATATTTTTATATTTATTACTATTTACATGTAAAATAAACTCAAATAAATTTTTTTTTGAAGGGTGTAAGTTATTTTTTATTATTACCGCGGGTGATATAACCGCTGGTGAAAATTAATATTTATTTATTATTATATTGAATTGATTTTTTATTTAATCTTTATAAAGTCGATATTACAGATGGTAAGTTGTTTATTAATTATATATCTAGACTTATAAGTTGTTATAATTATATGATTTTATTTATTATTCATTTCTCAACTGTAAATTTTTTTATGTTAACTTAAATTAAAATAAATTTTTAAATTTGTTTAACAAATTATTCAATTCAACAGATGGTTAGTTATATTAGAACATTAACTGCATGTTTTACATAATTAAGCCAAATTAAATTATTCTTTAATTAATAACAGAAAATAATGTCGCACAATATGATTTAGCTAAACGTTACCAAAATGAAAAGAATTTAGAAAAGGCATTTTATTGGTATCAAAAATCAGCTATAAATAAAAATAAAAATGCTTAATATAATATAATCAAATGTTATATAAAAGGAATAGGAATTAATAAAGATTTAGAAAAAGCATATAAATGGCATCAAAGATTAGTAAAAAATGAAAATAAATTTGAAAGAAGTTTTGGAAAATATGAAACTAATCATCAAAATATTAATGAAAATATTGCTACAATTGTATTTATTAATAATCCTTAAAATATCAAGTTAAATTCATATCTTTTAATGAATTCACTAATTTTGAACAACTTGATAATGGAGGATTTGGTAGTATTACAAAAGCAACTTGGTTGAATACAAGTGATTTTATTGTATTTAAACGATTAATAAATACAAATAATATTAATCAAGATGATTTTATTTATGAATTAAAAATTCATTTTATCTTAATTATTATAATCATATAATACATTGTTTAGGTATTAGTCTAGGTAAAATTTTAATTATTAAATAATTTATATTAATTATTATTTATTAAAAATAAATTATTTATTAATTTATAATTTACAGATTCAATATCAAATGAATATCTTCTTACAATGCAATATGCTAATGGTGGTAATTTACAAAATTATCTTAAAAATAATTTTAATAATTTAAATTGGAATGGTAAAAACAGGTTAGCATTTCAAATTGCAAATGGATTAAATTACTTGCATAATGAAGATGTTTTACATAGAGATCTTGTATTATTTTTATTTATTTTTATATTTTATAATATAGATTTTAGAAATTTATTTTAAGATTTTATAATTTTATTTAGCATTCTAAAAATATACTTATTCATAATAATGATGCAAAGATTACAGATTTTGGTATTTCAAAATTTGGAAATAATTCTACTAGACCTTGTGGTAAAACTGCTTATATAGATCCACAAATACTTACAAATCATAATTTTCAATATATTAAGCCTTCAAATATTTATAGTTTTGGAATTCTAATGTGGGAAGTTTCTAGTGGATTTCTTCTATTTAAAGATTTAAATGATATTACTATTTGTGTTGCTATTGTTAATAATAATGCTCGTGAAATTACTATACCAAATACTCCTAAGGATTATGAAAAACTATATAAAAAATGTTGGGATCAAGAACCTAAGCAAAGACCTATCATTACAGAAATATTGGTTGAATTCTCAAGAATGAGTTTTAAAAATAAACTGATTAAAGGTATTTTAAAGTATTAATAATTAGTTTTTTTATAAACTATAATGATAATTTATACTAATTTATTTACATTTAATTAAATGAAGTCAATTGCAATATGTTTGAATTGATCAATGACAAGTTAAATAATAAAATTAAAATTATACCTTTCGATGATTTAATTGATTTAAAACAACTTAATAAAGGCGGCTTTGGAAGTATTATAAAAGCAATTTGGTCAAAAACAAATGATTATACAATCTGTAAAAAATTTAATACATGTATATTTAAATGTGATAATGATAAATTAAATGCGTTTATTTATGAGTTAAAAATACATTTGCATCTTAACCATAGTAATCGAATTATACGTTTTTTAGGTATAAGCTAAGGTAATTAGATAAGCTTAATTTTTTTAAGAATTTTTATTTATTATTTATTATATTTATAGATCCAAAGTCAAGTAAACTTTATTTAATAATGCAATATGCAAATAATGGAAATCTTCAAACTTATCTAGAAAATAATTTTGAAAAATTAAATTAGAACGATAAAAAACAATTGGCATATCAAATTGCGGATGGTCAAAATTTATATTATTGGACCACTTGGCTGATTTTAGTCATATGATTAAATTATTTGCATAATGAAGATGTTTTACACAGAGATCTTGTAAATATTTATTTGCCATTACTTTATTTGTTAAATTTTATGTAATATTAATGATATTCTTTAATTTAGCACTCTAAAAATATTGTTATTCATGAAGGTAATGCTAAAATTACAGATTTTGGTATTTCAAAAGTTGAAAATAATTCTTCAATACATATTGGACTTTTTGGTAAAATTGCTTATATGGAACCACAAATACTTGCCGATCAAAATTTTGAATATATTAAAGCTTCAGATATTTACAGTTTTGGTATATTGATGTGGGAAATTTCTAGTGGACATTCTCCTTTTGAAGATAAATTTAATAATAATTAGGATCTTATAATCGCTATTACTTGTTATGAAACTCGTGAAATTTCTATAGCAGATACACCTGAGGATTATGAAATACTTTATAAAAAATGTTGGAAACAAGAACCCGAGTAAAGACCAATCATTAAAAAGTATTAAAAATTTTTATAAGATGGGCTTTGGAAAAAATATTAACGATGCTGAAATATCCAAAGGTAAAATCTTTATGTTAATATTTTTATAGTTTATATTATTTTGCTTATTTTTTTTCAAATTTATAAACTACAAAAAAATACAGAGAATAATTCTGATCCAGATTCAGTAATTAGTAATTCTATTCAGTTAAATACCTTTGAGAATTTATCTAGTAAGTTTCCTATTTAAACTTTGATCACAAAAATACCAGGATTATTTAATTTAAATTTATTCATTTAATTTTAGCATCAAATTATGAAAATTTTTAGATTTTTTCTATTTAATTTATTAATTTATTATTAACTTTAGTTACTTCATTTTAAACGAATATTTTAATTTATAAATAGTATAACATTAAATTAATAAAGTTTAGTTATTATTCATTAAAAAACTAAAATATGTATACAAAAATGTTTTTATTTTTTTTTTTGTTTTTATAATTGAATAAGAATCTGAAATTATTACAAAAAAGGTAATAGGGCTTTAAATTATATTTAATCGCATTTTATTAATCTGACCATTTAGTATCTGATAATTACCGAACTTAATTACAGAAATTTGATACACTTATTTTATGCCCGAAACAAATTATCTTGATTTTTAGAATTTACAATTATGAACAATGAAATGTAATTTGCGAACGAACGTATTATAGAAGGTAATGAATACAAATTTATATAATTTGCATCAATTGTTATTGGTGGATTTTTTGTCTCACAATGCAATAATACTTCGGGGACATTATACTGCTTAATATTTTAAATACAATGTCATTCCGTCTCTTATCTTATTCTATTATTGATAGTATTAGATGACATTTTACCTTGAATGAATATTATTATGCCATCATTATTGATTATCGTTTCAGATTAGAATGAACGAATTCCCTGCTCTAGTATTTTATTTTATCATCCCAAGAAATTCGGCGCAGAACTTTGGATGCACAAGCATGTGATGAAATAGTTCATTAACAATTATGAAAATAGTCATTTATCCTCATTTAATTTGAATCGAGATAAAATGCTTGTTCGATAAGATCAGAAGTCATTATGTTTGAATTATCAATTCAATCAATTTCATATACGACTGAATATTTTACATTATGCATAGAATTTATGGGTTGTGTATACTGAACACTAAAATTGTTGGCATTGCCTAATACGAAAATGGCTAGTACCTTGTGTAATTTTGCAATTTATGTAGCATTAGCACTGTGAATTTATCACCATATATTCAGAAGGTTTAATTTTGAAGTTCAGACAAATAGTTTTATCCATGAAAAAATTAATATTGTCACATCATCATTTTCAACAAACTCAGTTGCAAACACTATCTATATTCTGTAAGTTTTGCCTTTTATTTTGTAAATACCGACGCAATAGCCAATAATTTTTTTAAATATTGAATGGCTCTCATATTCAATTAATTGAATGTTTTAACAAAAGCTAGGATTCAACCCTATGGAAATAAATGTCCGGATAATATTTAGAAATTACTTTTTTTTTGGGACAAAATCTAATCTATATCCAGAATTTGTTCGTACGCGATCTTTTAAGGTCAGTCAATTATTATAGGGCAAATGAGAATGTATGCGTTTGCAACCATTCTTACTGATAGAAAACATGGACCACGTAGGTTGGCCTCATCATAGTAATTTTGAAAATATCGCTTTTTAAAATAAATGGTTTTACTACCTATCCTTTCACACAACAAATTAACATATCGTAAAAATCACGTTTTCAAAACCCATCAAAGATTTAAAGACAATCAGGAGATGTTTCTCCAGATGATTATATATATTCAAACAGAAGAAGAACAATATTTAAGAAGAAAATTTGCTTGTTTTAAGTATGGTAGGATACGATTTTTATAATCGATTTTTAAGCATTTATCTTACCGCTTTTTAAAAATCAAGAAAGCACATAATATCGACTGATTTATTTCTCAAAACGTATAAAAATATTTCTATTTCTTGTACTTTATTTTATTTTATCCTGCAAACTTTAGTTGATTCAAAAAGAATCTTAAATTAAAATGGTAATAAGTGAGACTATTGTTGCCATACTAAAAGTGAAATTTGTATCGTTAGTAAGTTGTCCTGATTGTTATCATGCATAGATCCACCTTTCATCGTACCATTCGCCAAGTACATTGGTGGGGTTAGTAAGAAATTAAAAAAGCATAATATAATATAAAAAAGGACGTAAGGACTTTTTCTTTGCGACCGCTCTGTGTTCGCATTCATCCAAATTTAATTATTTGTTACAAACAATAATTTTCTCAATTAAGCCTTTTTCATATATTATAGCAATCAAGTATGGGATGGTTTTCTATGTATGGAAAGTATGGTTTTTACCATATAATTATTTTTATACATGTATGGAAAAGCATACATGTAGTATTTTATAAATGGGTATATAGCAAACATGTAGTGTATGGCTGACACTGTATGTATTGTATGGTAAGGTATATACCCCCATGTATGGTATGTATGGAATGTATGGATTTTTAATTAATAATGAAAATAAACAATAAAAAAAATAAAAATAAAATAAAAATAAAAATAAAATAATAAAATAAAAAAAAAAGTAGCAGTGATCGAAAAACTAGAATTGGAAAATCTTAAATTGCGGCAAAGAACTTAATCTTGACTAATGTAATATTGAAATTTATAGATTTTATTATTAACAATGGTGCATATAAATTTAAATAAAATAATTTATGTGTTTTTGGTTTATCTTTATAATTGAAAAAATTTTTCACGCCCCTATATAAATAAATTTAATTTCTTATGAGTTATCACTACGTAATTTATATCGTAATTTTGTAAATGTTTGTGTCATCACTTTATACAGTACATTAAGAAATATTTTTTTTTTGCAAATCCTAATCTTATGTACGGCCGAAAATACGTATAGCATACATAGCATACGTTCATTTTTAATATCCATACATGTATGGATACAATCAAAGCATGCATAAGCATACAATACATACAACGTTAATCATAACTACATGTTTTATAATCACCTTTTATAAGTTGGCAAACTTTACGAAAAAAAATTAATTTTATCAAGGCCCTAAAACTATTAAAATTAACTTACTGTTAGAATATATCATCATAATCAAAATAAATTTTATTTGATTGAACTTTTTTTTATCAATATAAATTTCTTATTTACTTTCTTCTAACGCTTGGTAATTTAGATTTTTCTTAATTTGATTTTTTTCTTATTTTTTTTTTTTTGTCTTGACAATAAATTTATAATTTTTTATCGTTATTAAGAGTGAAAAAATTTTTAAATAAATAAAAAACTTAAAAATAACAATGATGCAAGTAAAAAAATATATAAAAATTATGAAATCATAAAAAAAAAAAAATTATGCTAAGATGTGATATAATATATATATATTTAGTTATACTTGCTTAATTTTTTTATTATTATCTTCATTTCCGCTTACATCACTTATAAATTTTTAAATCTACTATTTTTTTTTTTTTTTTGCCAAATATGTTTGATGATTCAAAAGAAAAAGATAAAAATGACAAAATCGAATTATTGTTCAATTGAATGAAAGAACAAATAAAAGCATTATGCGCCGAAAATTATGAATTGCACAATAAATTTCCGTAACCTTGAAGAAACTTAAACTAACTCATAAAAAAGGTTCTACATTACCTAAAGTTTTAGCTGTCATCCCGTACATAAAACAAATATTTTAAAAAAAGCTCAGAGAAATCTCCGAAAATATAAACAATCCGAAGAAAATTTGTCAAGACTTCGTGAACATGAAAAAGAATGTTCCAATAAGAATTCAATAATAATGCAGTGGAATTTCCGAAAAAATATAAATCCGAAAACATACTCGAAAAATTGCGTAAAAAAAAAAATCTTTATTCGAAGAAACGCTCGAACGGTCCAAAGAATTTCGAAACGAATTGAATAATAATAAAAACGTATTGAATAAGTTTTCTCTAAAAGAATCCGAAAATTATGAAAATCAGCTAACATATGATGAAATTAACAAGGAGAGAAGAGACCTTATTAGGAGATCAGTGAATAACAATGAAGAATAACAGTGAAAAAGAACAATTAGAACTTTTAAAAAAGAATACTAAACTTAAATTGGAAGCATCTAAATATCAAACTGCACCTGGTGATGCAACACATATTCGGATGAATGATGATGATAAACGCCACGTTGTTCAACTTATAAAATATATTTCATCGTTACGGGACACATTGAGGAGTTACATCTCATCATTAAAATGGGAAATTGAAATGGATATTGACCAAATTAACAACCTTATGAAAGAATATGAGACAAAAAAAAATTATAATATACAATATCGAATAAAATTAAATCAAACGTAAAAAAATGGCTATTCGAAATTTTGATCACTATCAACAAGGGTATCAGAAAATTTTTCATTTAATTCGAAAATGGTTACGTAATTTTGACCATTTGTATTGTTATAAGCTCTAGCTCTTATTTCTATACCACCAAATGATATGCTGAACGTAAACGGTCTCACTGTTCCTAAATGTGCGTCGGGAAGGTCAATAATCAATGTTCCAAGCAATTTCATGCCAGAATAAACGGCGTATTGTTTTTCCGACATATTCAGTTGTCAATTGTAACGTTACGGAATACTTTTTTCAATCAATCCGCCGTCAAATAAACATTCTTGGCTTTATCCTTTTTTGAATATTAGGCTGGTACGGTAAGAATAAAAATATCTTTCACGAAATCAATTACAGACCATTTGGTTTATTAAAGTTTATAGTTATTATTATTATTATTTATTTACTTATTTAAAATGTTCCAAATGTTTCCTAGTCACCATAGTTGGCTTTTACATATAGGTTGCTTTTATACAACGTTTTCAAATTCATCATACTAATGAAGTACCTTGTTCGTTTTGAATGACTCCGTTATCCCAGACCCTTTATAGTTTATATGGATTATTTCTTCATCATAATAAAATGAAAGTGTTGATAAAAAATTCCGTTACAATGATTCTAATATATCTTAAATCATCTTGATCTTATAATTACCGAATAAGACATTACGAAACTATAAATTAAAAAAAAAAGATTTCATTTCAATTCACAAAGTCTAATATTTTTTTTAATTATTATACCTATGTCAATCACGACATGATTGTTATTTTAATGTAAAATAAAACAACAGTTTATCGTATTTATTAGAATTAGAAATCAATAAAATCTTAATTTTTTCAAATCACAATTCAATCGACACATCCATTGAAAATAATTCACGGTCATCTTGACAAAGCCATAGACAAAACATATAACATTATCTTAAGGACATTAAAGACGTTAATGGGTTATATGACATTAATTTCTAATGAAGAACCGCAGCAGCCAATTAATTTGGTTTTAATAATCAAACTGGTGATAAACGAAGCGTTCTTAACTATGATTTATCACAATCATACGAGAATATTCATTCAATTGTATACGGGAATGTGATTGTACAGAACATTAGGGCAGGAAAGTATTCGCGAATTTCATCATTAATTAAATTTCATAAATCGATTGTTACAAAGAACTAAAGAAGCAATTTTCTTGAAATTGCAAATCGATTATATTTTCAAATGTAATAGGACTTAATTAATTTATTATTCTATTATTATTAATCGTATCGTTTTGACTTCAATTTGGATTATAGATATTTGTTTTTGATAAAATCAACCAGAATATCGAAAATGAAAAAACCATCATAAATGCCAAAAGTCGATTATACTATAATTACAATTTCAAATTTATGAAAATAAACTTTGTTGACAAACACTTATAATTATAGTTATCCAAGAAGGTGAGAAATCTCGTGAGAAAATATGGACACGGAAGATATTAGAAATAAATGCATATGGATTGTTTGCATTAAAATCGTTACAAGACTATAAGTGATTTTTAATCTAGTAATCAAAAAAACTTCAGAATACGTTTCAAGAAACGTTTACTTGGCTTTTATTAACCAACCTAGAGTATGATTACAAACATAATTCATTTTGATAAATAATGATAAATATGTATTAAATTTTCTTTCTAAACAACACTCTTCTTCCAAGCCAAAATTGATTAACTGCCATGAAAATATTCGAAACTCCTAATTTCAAACGGAATCCTTACGAGATCAAAAACTATTTCATTTTCAAAATCTTGCTGACATACTGAGATATCACTCAAATTAATTGATATAGAGGTGGCTAATTAACGGTTATAATTTGACTCGGCAGGCACTAAAAATTTGTCTGTGCTAGCGAAATTATTATTATGTTATTCAGAATTCGATTATAAAGATGAATGAATCTGACAAATTTTTAGGCTTTGAATCTTGCTGCTTCTAAAATTAAACGCCTCATACTTGTACAAATCAAAGAAGTTCTTGTATGTGAAGATAATCATTATTATGTAAAATAAATATAACAAAGTTATAACATTACCTAGATAAAATTTTTCGAGAACATTCCTTTTTTTTCAAAGACTAAGGTTTTGAATAATTCGATTAATAAAATCGCAATGAAATATTAGAATCAATGTACACTTAATGTTAATAATAATTAGATGTAAAAGGGTCGCAGTAATTTCAAAGTATACGGCGCAGATTATTCGATGATAAAAATGAATGTATAACATCCTTCATTCAATAAACGTTGATCATCAAGGTATTGGTTTTACACATTTAGTTATATTAGTTGAAAAATAATTCCTATTTGGGTTAAATTATATTTAAATGTCCATAGAGTGGCATGTGTTAGTATTATGCTATAAAACAAAAAAGCAATGGCATCTCAGTGAAATAAGTTGTCATATGGGGTGAGTGCTGGGAAAAAGGACCAAATCGACAAAAAATTTTTTTTTTGAAATAACAAATGATCTGAATCAGAT